CAAGAAGCTGAAGAGAAGACATTAAAGTCATATTAGTATACAGATTTTTTTTTTTCCCTTCCCTCCCTCATCTCCCTTTTCTGTGATTATAGACTATAGTATTCAGTTTAGTTTTGCTTTGTGTTCTCTAGTTTTTGTTTTTGTTTTGTTTTTTTTTTTTGCTGGTGCTGTTCTGCTGTTTTATGCTCCCCCTTCTACCTTTGAGGGACCCTTTTTCTCCCTATATTACCTAAGAAGAGACAGCAACTGCTGCCATATAGTCAAGCTACAATCACACTCTCTAAAACACCAAAACCCAGGCAAAAACCAGTATCAACTGCCATACACCAGGGAGGTAGGCAACACCTGTGAAAGTTACTCTGAGTTAAGCAATAAGAAGAATGAAAAAAGGGAAGCCCACATCTTAATCACATCTACCTGGAGGCAATCAGAAAGCATAAAAAATACCAAAACACATACTCAATTAAGTATTAAGGCCACAGATAACACTAAACATGTCCAAGAAGCAAAAGCAGATGACCATATCAGCACATGTCCAGAAATAAGATAAAATGTCTGAGACAAATGACCTAGAGGTAGACCTGGACTCCTTTCTGGAAGCAGGGCAGGCCTTGGAAATGCCTGAGAGGAATTCAGAAAAATGATTATAAAATGTTTCAAAACACTTTACAATGGAGTTGAGAAAAATAAGGAAGAAGTCAGGAAAGCACTACAGTAACAATCAAATAAGATAGATAAAGCATTGGAACCAATTCAAAACCTACAGAAAGAGATCCAAACAATCAATAATAGAATATCAGAAATAGACAATACTCTGAAAGGGCAAAAGAGGAGAATAGGAGAGATGGAAGGCAGAACCAGTGAGCTGGAAGACAAATCTCTCAATACCACTAAACTAGAAGAGCAAATAGAAAAAAAGGATGAAAAACTCTGAAGAAGGGCTAAATTTCATGTTAGATAACATGAAGAGGAATAATTTAAGAATTGTCAGTATTCCAGAACAAGAAGAATCACACAAGACCACAGAGGAAAGTTGAAAATTTCTGGAAAAAAATTTCTCTAACATCCTGAAAAGTGAAAAGATAAACAATGAAGAAGCTCAATGAACCCCAGGAAGGATAGACCCCAAAAGAAAATCACCAGAGACATATAATAATCAAACTCTCCAAAATCAAAGATAATGAGACACTCCTGAAAGCAGATAGGGAAAACAGAAGTGTCACATACAAAGGCAAGCAAGTCAGATTAAGCTCGCATCTTTCAGCAGAAACCTTGCAAGCAAGGCAATGGAGAGACATATATAAAACCCTAAAAGAAAAAAACTGCCAACCAAGATTCCTTTATCCAGTAAAGCTATCAATCAAACAGGAAGGTGTAATCAAAACATTCCAGGATAAACCGAAGCTAAGGAATTTTGCCAAAGCCAACCCTGTGCTACAAAACAAGACACTAGGTTTTTGTCTGCAGGCACTACACACACACACACACGCTCTTGTTTGAGATACTGCCAGTGTTCTTATAGTCACTGATTTTGTCAAAATTAGCTACAATATTTTCATAAGAAGTATACGTAAACCTATAGCAATAACGGTTTTTTGAGAACGAGATTGTAAAAGGAGAAAAATCACTGAGTTACTAATAATGTAATTCAATGTGTAAATATTTTACATAACAATTTGGTTGTTGGTATTCATATACTCTAATAAGCATGACAGTCAAGCAATTTACAGCTATATTATATATTATTCTATAATAAAATTGATAATAGACATTACTACGGATTCTATATGGCCTTATAAAGGAAGGAGGGTCGGGTGGGAGTCCTCAACCCTAGTGACCCACCAGCCTCTCCAGAGGCTCAGTGGCGAGTGGGTGTGTCCGGTGCTCAGTGGCTAGTGGCTAGCTTGTTTGCTATGGTGGGTCGGTAGTAGATATCACCAGACCGGTTTCCCACCAGCTGGGTCTCCCCACCCAAGCCCTGTATACAGGAAAGCTCCCACTCTAAACTACAAGACTGGTGTGGGGTGGGTGGGAGGGACTTACCTCTACCAGAACTGCTCCTCACCTCCTGCGCGCTGAGAACCCCACTCCAGCGTGACTCCAGCACTGGAAATCTGCAGACGTGTCCCTGCGTGACTTCCGGTCTTTGACCACGCCCATCACCCAATCACAGCAGGGGAGGGTCCTGTGGCCCCGCCCGTCCCTCTCATTTGTCAAACTCCAAACACTCCTGCGAAACTGCAGTTCCGGCTCTGAGCCGGCTCCAGAGCGCTTCTCATTGCAGCATCGGGAAGAGCGAGGCCTCTGGCTCTAGGGTGCACGGCTCCACAATGGACCAGCGGTAGGACCCGAGGATCGCGGGCCCTCAGATCACTGCGGTCGGCGGATACGCAGCCCCTGGCCCCAAGCCTGGGCCTCGGGAGGCGCCTTGTTAACTTGGAAGCCGGGGTTCCCTTCAGTCCTGGATGGAGATACGGGCCCTGATTTGGGGTCCTGGCCATAACGAGCGCCGGGCCGCTTTCGTCTCCTCCCTCTCGATTCATCTCCCAGCTTTGTCTCGCGGAAGCTTCCTCTGGCACCACTTCACTCGAACTTGCATTTTGTTTACCTTTGGGCCCCTCGGAGCAGAAGCCGAGTGGATCCAAGTGGTCCCGAGATGCCGCTGGGTGGGTGTGGCTCCCGGCCGATCTGTAACGCCCTCTCTGCAACTGACCAGCTCGGGGCCTTGGCATTGGGGCCAGAGGGGCGTGCGCGATGGGGCCTCCCAGGCCTGGGACTCCGGTGGGATTCAGAACCTGGTTCCCTGCTTTTCCCAGAGCCCTGGCTTGCAGAGCATCTACCACTATTGCCTGCCAACCACATAACAAAAAAACAAAAAAAGTTGCCTTCTAGTTGATTAGACTCATGCAGATCATATGCAATTTAGGAAACTGAAAGTGAAGATTCCCGTGTCTATAACAGAGGCGAAGATCCTGGTGGTGCAGTTACTAAAGCACTAGGCTGCTAACTGCTAGGTCAGTAGTTTGAACCCAGAAGCCAGAGAAAGATGTGGCATTTTGATTCAGTAAGGGTTTATTCCTCTGGGGAAGTTCTACCCTGCCCTAAACCAAAGCCAAAACCAAATCCACTGTCATGGAGTTGATTTTAACTTATAGCGACGCTATTAGGATTTCCAAAACTATAAATCTTTATAGGAACAAACAATCTATTCTGACGGTTGGTGGACTTGAGCCATCATGGCTGTTTACAACTGCACACAACAATAAGATTGAATAGGGGCCCTGATGGTGTGCTGTAGAATAAGCACCAAACTGCTAACAGCAAGGTCTGCTGTTCAAACCCACCAGTCACTACTCGGAAACTCTAAACAGGGTCGTTATAAGTCGGAACCGACTGAACGGCACTTAACAACAACAACGATTCAGAGACCCTGTACCCTTTAGGATCTCTATAAATCGGAATCAACTTGATAGCAACTGTTTGGGAAGGGAGACTGGGAATCTACTTTAACAAAAACTAGGAGTCCTAGTGTGGCGCTGTAGGATAAATATTGGATTGCTAACCACAAGGTCAACAGCAACCACAAGGTCAGCAGTTCAAACCCACCAGCCTCTCAGAAACCCTCTACAGGTTCACTATGAGTCAGAACCGATTTGATGGCACTTAACAGCAGGGTCACTATGAGTCGGAACCCACACAACGGCACACAGCCACTACCAACAGCAAGTTATCTCAAAAGACGCATGTTATTCTAGATTTTGGGGTCAGGAGGTAGATCTTGTTAAGTGGTGTTGGATGGGTTCCAACTCACAGCGACCCTGTATAAGGGTCTCGAGGAGTGGCTGGTGGGTGTGAATCACCCACTTGTGGTTAGCAGTCCAGTGCTTATCCCATCGCCCCACATCAGGACTCCAAGAGATATAAGAGTGTAATTGTCCTCATTTGTGCCCCTAGCTCGCTTCCAAATGCGCCAGCAGAACTGCTTCCACGAAAGTCAGAGGTACCTTTGGAAATTTTTGCTGAATGCTGCTGAGGTTGACAAACTCAGTATCCCTGGGACCGTCCAAGTTTCCAGGGAGGTTGATTCAAGGCAACATGTCTGCTTCAGTGAAAGAGTGCTTTCAGCTTCAGCTGCTGGAAATGGAAATGCTGTTTTCTATGTTTCCTAACCAAGGCGAAGTAAAACTTGAAGATATAAATGCCTTGACACATATAAAGAAATACTTGGAAGGCAAAAGGGAGGCCCTGCCACCAAAAATCGAATTTGTGATTACTCTCCAGATTGAGGAGCCCAAGGTGGGTGCCCTGAATTTTATGGGCGTTGCTAAGTTTTTAAACAGAATCTCTGGAACTGAAGTTTGCTGGTTAGGAAGCAAATAGATAATGTATGTTCCAAATGTGTAATATTTCTTTTGTTTGAAGCAAAAGATACTTCGTTTTTATTAAAGCAACAAAAGTTACAAGATAATAATGTAAAATATGAGATATCTTGTAAATTCTCTTCGACAGATATTCTGGACTTTATATAAATATGTCCATATTCTTTTCAAATGTGCTTAATATTTTTATTAAAAACATCTTATAGTTGTTTAGTGCCATAGAATGCGTTTCAAATCATAGTGACCCTGTATAGCGTTTCTGAGGAACAGCTAGTGGATTTGAACTACTGACTTTGCAGTTCAAACCTGCCTTACAGTCCAGTGCTTATCCTACAGCGCCATACCAGGACTCCTGTTATTATTCTTTTCACACATCCAGTTTCTTTCTAATTCATCTATTATAGTATGGCACTGCAGGATAATGCGCTGGACCATAAAGCCAGTTTGAATCACAAGATGGGCTCCTTGGAAACATAAGGTCACTATGGGTTGGAACCGGCTCAGTGTCACTTAACAACAACAATCTTGTGTCAGGGGCCTAGTGTGGCACTGTAAGATAAGCACTGGACTGCTAGCCAGAAGGTCAGTGGTTCAAACTCATCAGCTGCTCTTAGGAAACCCTATACAGTGTCACTATGAGTTGGAACTGATTTGAGGTCACTTAATAACAACAACCATAGTGGTTACGAATCAGGCTGTGAACTGCAAGGTCAGCAGTTCAAAACTACCAGCAGTTTGTGGGGTAAAGATTTTCAGCCTCGAAAACCCTGTACAGGGTCACTATGAGTCGGAACTGACTCCACGGCACATAACCACTATCACCACCAACAACCTTATAGCATGGTAACTTTCACATATTTAAATGTTGCCTTTTGAAAAACTGGATTTTAATGAGTGGATGAATGTTTCTTTGGTGGCACCATAACACATAAAACAACTATACAAAATCTGCACACTAAAAACGAATCTGTATCCAGCTTATCTGATCCCTTTGTCTCCAGCAGCATTAGCATAACATAGGTACCAAGTGGACTGGGTATTTGAAAATCACCTTCATACCTTTCTTATTTGGAGTGCTGGTGTGGCCTTGCAGAATAATCATTGGACTGCAAGCCTCAGGGTCAGTGGTTCAAACCCACCAGTCACTTCTCAAGAAACCCTATACAGTATCACTGTGAGTCGGAACCTACTCAATAGCACTCAACAACAACAACAACCTTTCTTACTTGTCCTTCAATTATCATTCCCTCAGAAAGCACCTTTCTGGTTCCCTAGACTAAATTCAGTCCCTCTGATTACAAATTTCCATATAACACTTCTCACAATTGGAATTAAATATTTGATGGGTATAAGTTTCTTGAGGAGCTTTCACTATATTATAGCCTTCAGGGAGGGCAGATTAAAGTGTATAGCTACTTTATATTTGTATCCCAGCATAGGGCCTGGCACATGGTTGTTGTTGTTGTTGTTGTTAAGTGCCGTCGAGTCGGTTCCGACCCATAGCGACCCTGTACAGGGTTTCCGTTGTTGTTGTTAGGTGCCATCAAATCAGTACTGACTCATAGCGACCTTATGCACAACAGAATGAAACACTGCCCAATCCTGGGCCAACCTCACTACTGTTGCCACGCTTGAGCCCATTGATACTGCCACTTGGCCAATCCATCTCTCTAGGGTTCTTCCTCTTTTTCACTTACCAAGCATGATGTCCTTCTCCAGCGACTGGTGCCCCCTAACAATATGTCCGAAGTATGAGAGACGAAGTTTGGCCATCCTGGCCTCAAATATTTGAAAGAATTGTATAAATGGAAGCAATAGTTTATATAAAGTACTTAGTATAGTGTCTGGCACATAGCAAACATTTAATATCAATAGTTTATGTTTATCAAAAGCAGTTAGCATTGATAAAGTGCTATGTATGATTTTATGGTGCCTAAATATTTGATTTTTATTTTAAGGTGAAAATTGATTTACAAGTAACCATGCCCCACCACTACCCCTTCTCAGCATTACAGCTGTTTGGACGGTCATCAGAGTTTGACAGGCAGCACCAGCTACTTTTCAACCAGAGTCTCACTGCTTATATAGGGACTTTGGATCCAGGTGAGATCTGTGTGGGTGCAGCAATCCAGTGGATACAGGACAATTGTTCATCCTATGTCTTGGACAGAAAGCTTGCTTATGAACCATCTGCACAAGCAAAGCCAGTCAAGAACACATTCCTCCGAATGTGGATCTACAGCCACCATATATATCAGCAAGACCTAAGGAAAAAGATTTTGGATATTGGGCAGAGGTTAGATGTGACTGGGTTTTGCATGACAGGAAAGCCTGGTATAATCTGTGTAGAGGGCTTCAAGGAGCACTGTGAGGAATTCTGGCACACAATTAGGTATCCCAGCTGGAAACACATTTCCTGTAAACATGCTGAAAGTATTGAAACAGAAGGAAATGGGGAAGATCTACGCCTTTTCCATTCTTTTGAAGAACTACTCCTTGAAGCGCATGGTTACTATGGGCTAAGGAATGACTATCACATGAATCTCGGCCAGTTCTTAGAATTTCTCAAAAAGCATAAAAGTGAGCATGTTTTTCAGATATTATTTGGTATTGAAAGCAAAAATTCAGAAATCTAGGGGGCTACTAAGAAGTCTATGCTTGTAAATTCACTAAATCAGCATTTGTGTTAATCACACCAAAATAAAAGGGCAGGTGGCAGTTTAGCACCCTTTATGAGAAGCCAAGCTTCCGAATTTTCACTTAATAGTGCAAAAAGCCTGACAACTGTCAACAGTGCAATGGTGGTGCTACTTCTACATTTCTATGTGAAATTATTTGTAAACTATTGTAAATGAATAAAAACTATCAATTTAGCCAGTGAAACTGATTTAATTAAGGAGACGTCCCAAGTGCCCAGTTAATGTCAAAATTTAGGAATTCACAGGTAGGACTAACATTTCTCTCTTCATGATGCTAGCACAAAGGTGACATATTTTTTTTTTATTATTGGTGATAAATTCTAAATCTAATTTAAAATGAAAACACACACAAAGAGAGAACTTCTTACTCAAAAACTTAAAACTCCTATTTTGAGTCCTGGAAGAGTGCTGTAAGATAAGCACTTGACTGCTAACTGCAAGGTCAGTGGTACAAACCTACCAGCCACTCCTGGGAAACCCTATGCAGGATCACTACTGAGTCAGAACCAAGTCAACAGCACTTAACAACAAAGCAAAACTTTGCAAGAGGCCTATTTTACTGGGCAACTTCTAGAAGTATCCCAATCAGTTATATGCTGAAGACGGGCTTACAAGTTTTCTGTGATCATGTTTCCCAACACTCCTTTCTATCCCACTCAAATGTGTATTTTACAATAGTAGGCAAGGGAAACCAATATTCATAAGACAGTCAAGCATTTTAGTATCATTTCCCCTCTTCAAGCTATGCTTAGATCCCTGATCACAGAGCCCTGTTGTTCCAAGGTTGACCATGCATCACTATTTACCTCTGTCCCTAGGCCATGTAAACCTGTCTCAGTGTTTCCCCATCTATATAGCTTGTTCTTCCACCTCCTCCCCCTTCTTGTATTGCTCTCCCCAAAACCAGAACTAAATCCCCCACCCCAACCCCACTGTTATGGTTACCTTGTATTCCATTAATTCTTCCCTCCAAAGACAATCTATTTTATCCTGTAATCTACTTCACCTTCTCACCACCTAGATCTCTGTTCCTCTGTGTTTACCTTCTTTAACCTTATAATTGTTTCAATCATAGATTGACCTCCCAGATCCTCTGGTTTTATAATTTTATTCTGTTCTTGACGCTTTCATTTGTCAACTGAATTCAGGGTGATGGTGCCACATAGGTCATTCTCTGACTGTTGTCTGTTCTTGTTGGTTTTAAGTCCACAGAACTTCCTTTAGGATGTTTTTCATAGCAGGGTTGGCTTTGGCAAAATCCCTTAGCTTCTGTTTATCCTGGAATGTTTTGATTACACCATCGTATTTGATTGATAGCTTTGCTGGATAAAGGCTTCTTGGTTGGCAATTTTTTTATTTCAGGGTTTTATATATGTCTCCCCATTGCCTTCTTGCCTGCATGGTTTCTGTTAAGAGATCCGACCTTAATCTGATTTGCTGTGCTGCACTGAATGAGGTCTAGGTAGTTTTCTATGTATAGGATCATATCATTTGCAAATAGAGTGAGTTTTACTTCTCTGTCAATTTAGATGCCTTTCCTTTCCCTTTCTTGCCTTACAGCTTTGACTAAAACTTCTGACACAATATTGAATAGAAGTTGTGATAAAGGGCAGCCTTACCTGGTTCCTGTTCACAAAGGGAATGCTTTCAGGTTTCTACATTGTGAGTAATGTTGGCTGTTGGATTTTTGTATATGCTGTTAATTATGTTGAGGTATTTCCCTTCAATTCTTACTTTGTTGAGTGTTTTTTTTTTTTGTTATCAAGAACGGATGTTGGATTATCTATCAACTGTCTTCTGAATCAATCAATATGATCTTGCAGTTGTTTTCCTTTAAAAAATTTATATGGTGGATGATGTTATTTTGCTAATATTGACTCCTTGCATCCTTGGTATGAATCCCACTTGGTCATGATTTATTATTTCTTTGATATGTTGGTGATTTCTGTGGAATTTTGGCGTCAATATTCATGAGGGATATTGGTCTGTAATTTTTTTAGTGTTGTTCTTGCCTAGTTTTGGTATGAGGATTATGCTTGCTTCATCATATGTATTTGGGAGTTTTCCATCCTTTTCAATGTTCTGAAACAATGTAAGTAAAATTTTTGTCAGCTTTTCTCTGAATGCTTGGTGAAATTTACCAGTAAAGCCATCTGGACCTGGACTATTTTTTTGTTGGGAGTTTTTTAAATGACCTCATGAATTTCTTCTTCTGTTACAGGTAAATTTACTGGAGTACAACTTTTCATAGTATTTGTATTATCCTTTTTGTTTCCATTGGTTCTATTATGACGTCACTTATTCTGTTTCTTATGCATGTTATTTGCATTTTCTCCCTTTTTTCTTTTGTTAGATTTGCCAATGATTTCTCAATGTTATTAAATCTTTCTAAGAACCAACTTCTTGTTTGTTGATTCTTTCTGTTGTTTTTCTGTTTTCTAATTCATTTATTTCTGCTCTAATCCTTATTACTTCTTTTCTTTTGGTGACTATAGGTTTACTTTGATGGTCTTTTTCTAATTACTGGACATGTTGTGTCAATGTGTTGATTTTGGTTCTTTCTTCTTTTTGTATTTGTGCATTTATTGCCATAAATTGTTTTCTAAGTGCTGCTTTTTGCTGTGTCCCAAAGGTTTTGGGATGTTGTGTTTTTGTTCTTGTTTGCTTCAAGGAATTATTTATTTATTTGTTCTATTATCCAGTACCTTTTCAGCAGGGTGTTATTCAGTTTCCACGTATTTGATTTTGTTTCCTTGACCTTCCTATTATTCCTATTATTGATTTCTAATTTTATAGCATTGTGATCTGGGAAGATGGCACGTAGTATTTTGATTTTTTAAAACTTATTGAGGCTTACTTTCTGGCATATTCTGGAGAGTGTTCCATGTGCAGTGGAAAAGAATGCGTGTTGTGCTGTTGTTAAGGGCTCTGTATGAATCTATAAGGTCAAGTTGGTTGATTGTGTTTAGTTCCTCCGTGTCTTTGTTGTGTTTCTTTCTAGTAGTTTATAAAGTGGTGTATTAAGATCCCCTACTATTATTGGAGTCCTGGTGTGGCGCTGTGGATTAATGCATCAGACTGCAAAGCCTTTTGAACTGCAAGGTGGGCAGTTCAAGCTCAGCAACTGCTCTTTGGAAACCCTATACAGGGTGGCTATGGATCGGGACCAACTCAATGGCACTTAACAACTATTATTGTAGAATTGTCATTTCTTTTTTCAATTCAATTAGAGTTTGATTTATGTATTTTTAGGCTCTTTTGTTGTGAGCATAGATATTTATTATGACTGTGCCCTCTTCTTCACCTGACCCTTTAATCATGAGATAAATGTCCTTTTTTGTCTGTTATGCTGTTTTTTGCCTTAAAGTCTATTTTATCAGAAATTAATATTGCCAGTCTTGCTCACTTTTGATTGCCATTAGCATGATAATTTTTCCCATTCTTTAATTATTTTACTCTATGTTTGTCTTTATGTGTAAGGTGTGTCTTTTGTAGACAACGTACTGAAGGATCCGTTTTCTTATCCATTCTGCTACTCTCTGTCTCTTCACTGGTGTATTTAATCTATTGATGTTCAGTGTAATTATTGGTATGTATGTGTCGACTGCAGTTGTTTTGCTGTATTTTTTCTGTGGTGCTGCTGATTTCTCTGTTCTGCATGTTTTCCTGTGCTGAGTTTAATTTTTTTGTCAATTTCTTCATAGTTGTAATGTTTACAAAATCTTCATGGATTCTTCTTTTCTTGATTTGATGTGAAAGTGTATTGTTTCTTTGAGGTAACCTTGTAATTTATTAATTTTTCCCAACTTAAAAGTTTGTTTTACCTGGAAACCTACTTGACTTCCTTGCCATTTGGAATTCTATAACTATACTTTTCCTTCTTCTTGCTTTGTTGTTATTTTCATTATAGATTGATATCTCTGATTCCCTATTTTCAGTCTTGTAGTTTTGTTTTATTCTGGATATTTCTATATCTGAATGGAATTCTGGGTGGTGTTGCTGTGTATTTCAATTTCCAGTTGTTGCCTGCTGTTGTTGATTTTCAGTCCAAAGACTCCTTTTAGGTTTTTTTGGTTAAGTTGGCTTGGTTTTTACAAATTCCTTTAATTTCTTTTCATCTGGAAATGTTCTGATTTCACTGTTGTATTTGATGGACATTTTAACTGGGTATATGATTCACTGGTTGGCAGTTTTTCTTTTCCGAGTTTTTCATATGGCTCCACATTGCCTTCTTGCCTACATAGTTAAGTAAAAACTATTTAGGCAAAAAAAAAAACAAAAAAAAACACACTCAAAAAACTATATAGGCAAGAAGGCAATGTGGAGCCATATGAAAAACTGAAAGAAAAAACTGCCATTTCTCTCTCTCTTCATCTGAAACTCGGAGTTCTAGGACTATCCTCTGCATCTGTCTCATCTGGTTTTCAGTATCCTTGCTACAGAGGGTCTGCACAGCCTTTCTGCCTAGCCTACCATCTTGCCCCACCTTTAGGCTCTCCCACAAAGATTTACAGCCTTGGACACCCTATACAGGGTTGCTATGAATGGGAACCAACTCCACGGCACATAACCACCAACCATCACCACAGTATGAATTGAACCGAAATATAAGTGTAAATGGACTCTGGATTTTGAAGACTTAACAAACAGAAGAATGTGAAATATCATTAATAATTTTTCAAATTTATATATCAAAATAATATTTTATATTCATTGACTTGAATAAGGAGCTCTAGTAGCGTAGTGGTTATGAATCAGGCTGCGAACCTTAAGGCCAGCAGTTCGAAACTACCAGCCGCTCCGCGGGAGAAAGGTGAGGCATTCTGCTCCCGTAAAGATTTACAGCCTCGGAAACCCTGTACAGGGTCGCTATGGGTCGGAACCAACTCGACGGCACTTAGCACCAACAACAACATTCATTGACTTAAATAAAATCTATTATTAATTTCATCTGTTTTAAAAAAGTTTTATCTAGGAATTTAAAAATGTTTGTTAATATGGTCGAATACAACGTGTGATTTTTTAAAAACT